TGCACACATTGGGAAGAGGGGGATCCGCAAAAGGAGAGCCGTCGCATTGAAGGTTCGCCTTGGTGAAAGTAAGAAGAACAGTTACAAAGGAAACAACACTTCGAAATTTGAATAAACTGTATAGTGTATTTCTACTCAGACAGGCTGTTCAGCCTACACTGTCTTATCATTCCGCTCCATACGCGATTGCATCTTTATAGCTGAGAACTTGATGAGCAAGTCAGGATATATCACATCCGCAACCTAAACCAGAGCGCGCAAAATGGAAGCAGAGCTCCCTTGGGATTCAAGCACACTCAACGAATAGTGCTCGAAACATTAAGGCGAAATGTTTTTTCATCGTTTTTAATATTAAAATAAAAATAATAGCCGCAGACGTGACGCAAATGTATTACCGCACTCATACCGTACCTGGCTGCTGAAGACGATATTGCGGCTGCAGAGAACACGGTCCTTGAAAAAAGGATGAAGTGGGATCCCATTTTGAAGAGAAATTTGCTTCAATCCAAATACAGAAAGCCTCACGCAGAGGCCATTCCCCGTCTTTCGGGAAGAAAAAAGGATGCGAATACAATTAGCTTTTTAGGTAATATATCAAAATTATTGACGGCGGGAAATGATTTTTTTTTTAATGTTTAGGTCTAGAATATACCCTTCGTTGTTGGCGCGATAGAAAGCAGGAAGTAAGGAGGCCAATGCGCGGCCTACCGAAAGGCAACTGACATCGCAACATACTGCGCATAATTTGACCCACCAGTATTCGTGATGTAGCTGAGATTATTACTCTAAAGCTGCAGACACAAAAAGTAAAAGCTTTTTCTCCGATCTTCGTTTCCCTTCAAGTCTTGACCATAGATGGCGCCACGATACGAAGAAGGCGACTTGGCAGCGCGAAAAGTGCGCCATCACGGCGCTCGTTATTTGCATGGGTTCTCTGTCGCCGGCGAAAACAATGTTACTGAAACTCTCAGTTCGAAAACTTACCCTCCAAACCCGGACTGCTCGCGTCCACCGAGACCAAACTAAACACGATAACAACGCCGACCTTTAGCGACTAGCCAAACATGAAAGTTCACTTATATTGCTACTGCTAGATGGCACCGCGAGATGGCGCCACCGGCCTGTGCATGACCCGAATTGAACCGATACGAGCAGACGTGCAGTTTCCGAAGTGACCGCTGCGGCAGAAACGGCGGCGTTGCGATCGCCGTTAGTTCGCTTCTCGAGTACGTATCGAAGGCACTTTTTCAAATACCACGCTATGGCAGCTTCCGAAGTGGGTTGTTCTAGTAACGTTTGGTTAAACGAATCAAGAACAAAAAGTGAAAGCCGTTTACAACTCCCTGTAACACCGAATTAGAGCGCAGCTCTTGAGGAGGAGGAGGGAAGGGTACTGGGGGGGGGGGGGGGGGGTGAAGTGACCTGGGGGGGTCACGTGACCTTGGGGCTCACATGACGATGCCGATGATGTCATCAGTGACGTTACTGATAACGTCATCAGTGACGATGACGATGCGGACTCCGATGACGTCATCAGCGATGATGACGATGACGATGCGGATGTCGGTGACGTTATCAGTGACGTCACTGATGACGTCATCAGCGATGATGACGATGACGATGCGGATGCCCGTGACGTCATCAGTGATGATGACGTCATCTGGGAGGTCACGTGACCTCGGCGGGGGGGGGGGGGGGGGGTCACGTGACTTCAGGGGGGGTCACATGACCTCGGGGGGGGGGGTCACGTGACCTCGGGGGAGGGGTCACGTGACCTTGGGGGGTCACGTGACCTCGGGGTGCCGCGTGACCTTGGGGTGACCTTGGTTACGCCGACGCCGACGCCAACGAAGACGGCGACACCGACGCCGACACCGACGCCGACGCCGCTCAAGCCGGGAACGGGCTCCTAAGAGCTGCGCACTAAAAACTCGCAGGATCGCGGTGTATTCATCGTGCCTTGAATGGTTTAGTCGGTGACGTCAAATGTACAAAGGTGATGAGAGCCGTGTCAAAGCACTTTAGGTCGTAGTTAAAGTGAGACAGTATATTTCAGGGGCTCTCTACAGATAAAATGATGCACGCGTGACAGGACTTTTTTTATCTTAAATCCACAAGGTGTGTGGAAACGTAATCAAACAAGATTTTGCAAAAAAAAGAAAAAGCATCATTTAAGGGAAAACAAGAGACTTGAGTGCGCCAGAACGGCATAATCTGTTTTTGAAGTTTTCTTTCGTGTCCTGTTTGGTGACAGATGCTACGCAAACCACAAAGATCAAAGGCCAGATTCACAAAACGATCTTAAAGCCAAAAATGCGGTAAGATTTTTATAACCAACCGGCACAAAAACATAAAAAGCACGAGCCCCCTGCCGGAGCGGCATATGGAAGCTCGAACGAATACATCCCCACTAGTATTGATAGAGTTTGCGGACAAAAGCTGTTTTCGTGGAGTCAAAGGGTAACGTCCACGTTACTTGAAGTTTACGCTTAGAATAAAATTATTTACGTACGGTTTGACAAGCGAGAGACATAGTTACGAAGACCTCAAATGTAAAACTGCATTGCAGAAAAAAAAAAGAAAAAAAACATTTAGAAGTAGGTCATAGTGGGTAAATGTCCGGAATTCCGTCTTTTTATGCATCTGGACGAACGCAATCAAACGTCACCTTGAAGAACGCGTGATGACGTCGCCGCCAAGCGCTCGCCCTCCTTGGTTCAAATTTCCGGCAAACAATACCAGGTGGGTCCAAGTAAGGAATATAAAAAACACGGGCGGTGCGCAAGGAGCAGTCGAACTTGCATACCGTGTATCCCGCATAGACGCTTCACCTTACCATAATCTGGGATATGCCACTCGCAGGACGTACACCTGCGGTGTGGATGAACTTCGATATGTTTGTAAACATCGTAGTGGTTTCCACTATTCAAACTTGGGTGTTTTTTTTTTCACCCTCTGGAACTCATTATTGGCTTCGAAAACATAAGAACTTACGAGAGCGGAATCCAGCTTGCATCTTGCAACCGCTTTTCTCAAGCTCTGCTCTTTTTCAGTCCTGCTTGATCGGGGGTTGTCAAAGACCCTGCAGAAGGACTGGCTCTCTTTCGTGATGGCAAGGTATTGTTCAACTCGTCCGTAAAGGAACTTCCGAGTTGAAGCCGATCCGAGCATCATGAACTGGGAGCCAAAATTTCTGGTAACGAAAATAGAACGAATACATCTTCACTTTGAACGGAATTAACGCTTAACTGCTTAACAAGCAGACAAGGCACAATTCTGTTAGCTCAGTAGAAAGTTAATAGATAATTATTAGCGTCTGAATTTACGTTCCATAGGATGTTCTTTTGTGTTTTCACGGGCTGTTGTTCAAAAGTCGGGAACGCTACACAAATGGTCTTTTCAAGGTTGCTAATCGTCACGGTAAGTGCAATAATTGCTAAACAAATCCGTTGTATTTTTAAAGTCTGAAAAGAGACTTTCATTTAGAAACTTGCTGTGTGTCATAGACAACCAATTAGTATTTTTTAAACAGTATGTGAGTGCACGGGAAGCGCGGTGATGTATTAAAGTTATCACTGGTGCAACAGCCTCACGGCAGACGAGCCGAACACGTGCCCGCGGCGTTTTTGCCGTCTCTTATTATCCGCCTTTTTGAAACCGCTAGCTTTGCTCTTGGTGCATGAGTGGTTACCCTAACAAAACTAGCTTGCTTCCTACGCGCGCAGAGTCTTTCGAAAATTTACTGAATTAGTCGTTTAAATGATGCTCAGCAAGTTTCTGACCGGATCCATGCGTTTATTTTAGTGTTTCAAAGGTTAATGAACATAATTAAGGTAATTATTCGACTTATCTCGACGACTAGTTCTGTATAAGTTCTCCATTGTCGTGTGCCTCACACGTACAGACAGCACTAGTGTTAGCTTCCAGGGCTTATATAAAGCAAATCAGTAAAGTCTAAAAGAACACACCATGGAGAAAAGTCCAGCTGCGTCATTGCTTGCACATCCTACTTAACCTGCACACATACCCTTTATATTGTTCCACCACAAATGAATCTCGCTAGTGAACGTGGTGATGAAGGATAAGATATGTCACTGTTATACAAATGAGCATCTAATTACCGAAAGTCGACGTCGCTAAGTGTCGCCAAGTAAAACTCTCAGCCGCTGTTTGTTCTTGTCATGTGTGGTAAACGACAACGTTGACAACTACTACGACAGTTAGAACGACAACAGACGTCATTTCCATGGGTGGGAAGAGCCCATAACACCTATCGCTATTAAAACAAAACAAAAAACAATAAAACAATGTGCATACTTTTGGTTTCATTGCTTTATCGAAACGCCAAGGATATTATATTCTAAATCGTTTCGCCTATTTTGTTTTCATTCAAATCGTGCGTAAGCTACTTAGGAGCGCGTAATGTGGCGCAATCGAAACGAGACCGAAATATGTTCCATTTTGTTCCCCAGGGGCGCTGCTCGAAACTTCGAGAGCTTCCGGCTATACGGGCCCGAGTCAGTTGGCGCGTTCCGCGGTGTCAATTGGCAAAAATAGACAATGGTATCCCATTTAACAACGTCCTCTGCACAGTACTACCCCTTGGAAATATGGTAGTGCTTCGGGCTAACAATCACAGGGTCAAGGGTACGATTCTCCTTGAGGGACCTTCGGAGTTTCACTCTGTCTTCAGAATTTATTTACTTAGCAGTGTCTCCCCCATGCGCGCATTAGTTTACGTGTAACAAAGCAGAATATTTCTGGGGAGGCTGCCGAAAAGAAGTGGTATCGCATTTTAAAAGCTCGAGTTGACGTCGCATTCACTGCGCGTGATTGGCTTAGCCGTTGATAGCAGAAGCACAAATAGGACAAGCGCCATCACCATGCACTTTTGAAGCTGCTTGATTCCATCGATACGATCATGGCATTGGCTGCGACCGGCCGTACCGCTACTCTAATATTTCCATCAAAAGGTTATTTTGTGCGCAAGTGATGTCTTCTTACCTGTAGGCCGCCAGTTGCATAGCCATCTGCACGTAGCCGTCTGGACTCATGTTGCACGACTGGACGAACAATTTTCCATAGCTCGGAAATTGATACATGAGCCGCTCGGTATCGTCGGAATGGCTGCAGTGTTTGAGACATCACGCTGGATCATATCGCCCAAAATTGATCATTCGACATTTGTTATTTGCTTTTTTCTTTTAAGATACACTTTCCAAGAACGACTACTATAAAAGATTCGGACTTTGTTCTCCTATAAGGTGAACAAAATATGAAAACGTAAAAACAGAAACCAAATAAAAATTGAGAAATAAAATTAGCAAGAAAACACTACGCGATATAACTAGAACTCCGACCAACTCGTTAACTACAATGTGTCGGAATAAACTCGCTGAGAAAAAAATTATTCAGTGACTCCACACCCGACCCAGCCTGCTTGTGAATGTTTCGATTGGAAAATTCAATTTCTGTGAATAGTAAGGCCCTCGTATATTAGGAAGATACATGCATTGGAAGATTTTTAGAATTTTATGAGATATCAAAGCTCGCGTTAGTTCCCCCAACCTACTCCAATTGTGAGAATGGAGTTAAAATATATACTGACCTCACGTAAAAAGCTCTCGCTTTTTCTATGTCGATTAAGGTATCGGGTCCCAAAACAAATTCCACCTTCTGTGGTACAACTTCCGCGTTGTCTTCTGATGCTTCGAAGCTTCCTGTTCTTGAGCTGTGGTATTCACCATGTATGTTAAAGTAAACGATTATCAAGTTTATCTGCCCTTTTGAATTATTCTAATACCTTTGCATAGCAAAAGAACAAAAAGAGAAGTCGATTTATTGGATTGTAATGTCTATTTTTTTTAATTTTTATGATTTCTAACGTTACACAGAGGCGTAAATAGGTTGTATCCTCAAGTCTTGTCGAAGTGCTAGAATGCCTACATAATAAAATAAAAATAGTTATTTAGATTTCTACCAACTTCTCGGACTCTAAACTCGTAGAGCACAACTTTGGGGCCGATGTTCACATAGCGCATTGATTGAACTATCACGACGATGACTTGGCCCTTCTGTCGCCAGCGTCTAGCCGGCGCGCTCAGCGAATGTTTGTCCACAACTTTGTGTTTAACGAGTTTAGGGACCCTGATAGGTTCATTCCTTACCAAGCTAAAATATATTAAAAAAAATAAATGATATGAAAACCAATCACCCTAAGCTCTCCGCTTATGCGATTGTAATGATAGAACCAACGCCACTGCCCACTTGACGTTTCCTAGATTTCACTAAATTATTGAGTGCGTACGTTATGGTTTGCAAAAAATAGTGCGCCGTCGCTTAGCTTTTCTTTTTTTTATTTCATAGTTTTAATTTATCAGAGAACAAGTTCATCTAGATGCAGCAAAACGTTAAACAAAATGAGAAAATGTGCCTGTCCCTTTGGTGTCTTCAAGAGGGACTCCATGCATACCAATTATAAAGGTTTTGTTTCTACGTGTTACAATATTGTTTTAGTAAAGGCGCGAAAAGCACTCGAATTATGTCTGTTCAGGTAATTTACACGGCGAATTGGGGACGTATAATAGGGATTTAAGTGGAGAAATAAGTCGGAAAATTGGCTAAACCTTGTTCAATACCGTTTTCGTTAGTAAAAGTAATGACTTGGTTCAATGAAACCCCTTTTTGGCGGGCCAGTTGATTCGTGTCGAGATTAAAGTAATAAACTGCGCAAACCACGAGGACGGAGGCAGAAACAAGTACGGCACAGGAAACGTGGTTGAAAAAATCAAAATAACTATGTATTTTTCCAGTGAATTCTGATAGTATCATTCCTCGCCAAGCCAATGTCCTATTACATACTCGTTAAGCGTCATTGGAAACATGTAAATTAGTATATTTTAGAAAGATTTGGAACGCGGGGGAACGTTGTGGCGCGCTAAAGTTACCTATCCTGCAACAGGATCAATGCTGACGGTGCGAAAAGAAGGATGATATCACTCCCACGCACGTATCATTAGCCTTATCACCGCATCCCCAGCCTTGAGCCTGGTGTACGAGTGCTAACTTCAGCGCTCCTCCCGTTATCCACGAGCTCCGATTCTAAATACTTAGCGATTCAATGGTTTTCAATAACCCTCAGCACGTTTTCTATTGATACCATATGTTTACTTTAGTACTAATGCCCATTTGCCAAATTTCAGCCATCTCTTTTACTTATACTGACTACTAAAAATTAACACCTTTTGTTATGTCCCCCTGGCAGCTTAACTCATGCTCGGAGTGTAATTGTCAGGGCTATTTTAAAATAATCTTTTGAAGAGTAAAACAAAAACTCTGTGCGTGCTGTTATTCTCTTTTCGCCTTCTCGCTCCAACGACTTTGGACTAAGAGATGGCAATTAGAAAGACGGAGCTGTCTCTAGAAAGGCTAGGCTTAAGAAAATATAGAATACAAAATACCCGCACTCCTCCGACATGAAAACAGCGAAAAGTCCAAAGAACGAAAAACGGTACCAGAAAGTCACGATATTACATTAATACCCAGGCAGCGCGTCAGGGAAATGACTAGCTTGACCCAAGTTTGGCGACTCGTGGGGCCTTTTCTCGGCCTAATGAGATTTTGCTTTAAGGCGTTATTTAGAGCCAATGTGATTTCATTTGACTTTTAAATAGCTTTTCTCTGGCTCGCCACATAATCGTCGAAATGCCTTATATGAGTAAAAAATGCCGCGTGTCAACTAAACAACCAGCAATGAAGCCTAACTTTGGCACTCTTTGGCAATATAGGTCCAAAGTTGCCCGGTGAAAACCGCTCCAGGACTGAGGCTCCTGCAGACCTTTCCATGGGAACTGAAGCCCAAAAAAGCCAGGCTTGCGAGTCTTGTGAAACACAAATATTCTTTGAATGATGACGTGGCGAAAAGGGTGGCAGAAAGAACGACGTAAAGTTTCCTCCCCAGGAAAATTCGAAGGCGCACTCAACTTTGCCACGCTTTACCTTGGAGGGACGAAGCATCTTCCGTGGTTCCTAGGCGCCGAACAAGAGAACCAAAGAGCGTGGAGGAGAAGACGCGGGGGCGAGCAAGATTAGTGAGCGTTCACACCACTCGCTTTTGGCTCTGTAGCACCCGCAACACCGAGGCCTCCGACGCCGACAGCAATCCAACAACTTTATATCCCTATTTTTTCTGGCGCTTTAGAGGCTTTCATAACAAATTTGCGTAAAAAGGTGTGATTTCAAGGACAAAAGCGACCGTTTTCATTGTATATCTTCTTTGCTAAACTGAATGACGTTACTGGAAGATCGCAGTGCACCCCAATGATGATATTTAAATGTCGCTCATTGATTGGCCCCGAGCATTGCATGTGCACTCAATTTGGACTCATGATAATCGCTAGCTCAAGAAGCTTTCAGGTGTTAGCCCGTGTCCAGTTGGTACAATGATGACAATAGTCAAACCATAACAATCTCTGGAGCTCAGCGCGTACCCCGTGCTTCGCCACCCCCGGCTCGTGGCTATGATCAAAATTGGCGGCATATAATCGGCTCCAGATCACGTAGCCGCTTGTTCTGGCTGCGAGTTGAAGGGGTGAACGCTGCTTATTTTCTTTTATTTTTTCTGCGACTTCTGTTGCGTGGGGTGAAAAACAAACGCGTGTTCTATAGGTCATTAACGACAGGGATCCGTTTTAAGCGGTATTTACGCCCAAGTTCAAAAATTATTGCATCGCCCCTTTAAAGAATCGAAGAACTAGCGCTCGCCGATGAAGACGGGCAGAGCCTAGATCGCGAGCTGGAGCGACAATTCTTCACGGACGTTCGTTCCGAGCCCCTTGATTGTGCCCGTAAAAAAGGGGTATTAGACATATGTCGTTTCTTTGCATTCGTTTTTTTTTTTCTTTTTGTGGTGGCATCCTAAACAGCGTAACACTCCCAGACGCGAAGCAAAACTTGTGTCTGAATGTCGGCTGCACTTTCACATCAGATCCAACTAATGGCAACCGGAAATACCGAAGCGCCACCACGCGGGATATGTTTGATGAAAGATTCATTTCGTTTTCGAGTCGGTCGCCTTGTTGGCGCAGATATAGTATATGTTTCACAGACTACAGGAGCAGCATTCAGGTCACCAGGTCATTTCTGGTGGACTAAGGCGCAAAAATGTCGTTACAGTTCAATCACCACACATATTGACAAAATGTCGTCTGATACCCAATAAGGTGCTGCAACGGCCATATAAACGCGTAAAAAATCAAATCGCGTCTGTTCCGGCCGTTCCTTCCAAATCCTGATGATTAAAATCGCGTGTGTCCTCCGCACAATGAGAAATCCAAATTAGCCTAACACGAACACGCCCACAATTAGCGAAGGCCTGCAGAAAGCTCACCAAAAAATAATAAAAAATAACGAACTATTTTCCTTAACAAGCAAGGGCCCGCGGACGTGCTTGTCAGTCGCCACCTTGGCTGGAAGACTGCCTGTTCTACAGAGCCGGAGCGCTCAGAGTATTTCCAGCTCCACGGTCATGGCGGTTGCGGATGTCGCCCGCCTCCGAAGTCCGAGCGCCGAACGAAACTCGTCGCAAGTCAACCTACAACTATCATATACAACGGCCTTCGACAACCACTGCTGTGGCCGGAAGTTGTCGTCGTGGTGTTCGAAGACGTCACAGTAATCTCTGCAGTGTCGTTGACGGTGGTTGTAGATAGGTTCGATCGCAGCGTGTTATGCCGCCATGTTGACAAACCTTACCTTCACCTCAGACTGAAGTGAAGGTTTTCCGCTCAAACTACGTCGTTTGCTAAGTTCTGACACTTCACTTTGACGCCAGCGGCAGCTTTGACAAAAAAAAAGATTATAGCGAGTTTTACTTTATTGTTTTTTCGACACAAACAGTGACGTGATTTCTAACGTCGACAGCTCGACTATAGACAATCTACAAAGCATTGCCTCTGGCATGGCACAGGGATGTAGTAACGACCGACCGCCACGTCATCAGCGCAGCCGTTCAATCGGAACGCTTTCCACGCGCGCTCCACGTGAGCTGCAGGTAAGCTTACACCAACTTTGGCACTTCCTACTAATTTTGACAATCTCAATGAAATTGAAAAGATCTAATGATTTGTTTCTCGCTTGGCGCAACGTCGGTGTCGTGAGAGTCCAGTCAGCGCGTTTCGCAAACTTAGGCCTCAACTTTGTGCTCGGGTGACAACTGAACTCTGCTGCTTATTCTGACACTGGTGTTACAATTAATAAACAAAACGGTCCGACTCTAATCAAATATTACTGTTAGGTTGTAAAGTAACTATTTGGGCTTGGACGGCCCTAAATAACCAGACAAACACAAACTTTTGACCAAATACCTGCGCCGCGGAAGAGGCTCAGGAAGTGCATCCAAAGCTGGCTAAGTTTCTGCTGCATTTTCGGTCTCATGACTTTGCGGCTTAGAAATTTGTTTCTGCCGCCGCGTTACTCAGTCGTATAGGAAAGCAATGCGGGTTAGGATTCAATACTTGTTTGTTTTTTTTACATGTGAGAGAGCAGTTGAAAGCAAGAGCACACACAAACGCAGGTGCGCAAAGCAAAGCACGTGGTCTCTGTATCTTTCCTGGTCTTTATTGGTTTAGAGGGGTGTAATATACGCACTGAAACACGACGAGCGCCGCGAAGCTCCCTTTCTAGTAGTGCTTCATTCGCTTTTTCTCATTGCACCGATTCCGTCCTTAATTA